TCGGCGCCCCGGTCTCTCCGAGCGTGGTTGTTGCGATTGTGCGCGCGGTAGGTGCGATCGTCGTCGTCAACGTTGTCGTTTCTGGCGTCGTTGGCAGTAGGCATTCGGGAGTGCACATGGTGTGGCGCACGTCTACTCAGAGGGCGGATGATATTCCTCCTTGCATGCGCTTTCTTGCATGTGCCAATGCTTACTACGCTACTGTATGCGTACGTACCTACTGTCAAAGTGCCTTGTACGTAACATCCCGCAGTTGCGGATAAGACTGAGGGGGTGGCGGGGGCGTCGGCAGGCTGCGAGGCTGTGAAGAAGCCCACCGCAGGCGCTTATTTTGTACAAATGATACAACGAACTCGCCACAGGCGCTGATTTTTTCGTTCAAGCGATGTGGGTGGGTCGCGGGCCGGGTCGCGGATGGGTCGCGGGTGGGTCGCGGGGGAGACGACGACAAACAACAAGCAACGAACAACGCTCAACGCACAACAAACGACCAACAACACACGACAACCAACACACACCAAACAACAGCAACAACATCAACAATAGCAACAACGCAACAACAGCAGCAGCAATGACAACAACAACACCAACACCATCAACAACATCGCCACCAGCAAATCACAGCACACAACAACAACCAACAGCAACACCAACCACACCAACAACAACACCAAACACCACAACAACAACAACAACGCAACAACAACGCAACAACAGCAACAGCAACGACATCAACAACACCAACACCATCAACAGCATCACCACCAGCAGCAACAACAACAGCAGCATCAATACCACCAACAACACCACCAGCAACAACACCAACACCACCGCCAACAACAACACCAGCAACACCAACAATCCGCACCGCAGAACCTCACTTCAGCCACGCGCCCATGGACAGTGAATGACCGTTCGGCCCCCTCAGTCTGATGGAGTGCCTGGGCCTGCGGAGGGAGATGCAGCCCACGCCTGGCCATACCTTCAGCTGTGGGGTGCCTACCTGAGCAGTCGAGTCAAGAGGTCGCCTGTCCCGTGGTTCCACCTTGTCGACGCCGCGCGCGAGGTTGTGCGGCCCTCGGGGGCCCCTCCTCCGGAGATCTTTGCTCTGGGCACCGTTGCCGAGTTTTAGCGCCCCTTGAGGGCGCAGGCGATGAGCAACCACGGTGCCGCTACTCACAGCCTGGGGCAAAGGACTCAAGCCGCTGCCCTTGGACCAAGATTCCTGGGGCACGCGAAATTAGCAAAGGAGCGAAGTCCAATGCCCCCGCCGGAAAGCCTGACGGGTTGACAGACGCCTCATCCGAACAAAAAGGTCCAGCGTGCACTTAAGTAGCCCACCTGGCGTGCCGGCGGGCTCGGCGGCGATGAAGACCCTCACGGCCGCCTCCCCTACGTGGCCTTCGGGCCTTTCTTTCACTGGGTAGAGCGACCCCGTGGGTTGAGTACCACGGCTAGCCGCCCAGCCCCAGCCCTCGCGGCATAGGGTAACCGCGCCCCGGGGTGATGGCCCCCTGCAGGGAAGCAACGCAGGACCTTGTCGACGCCAGTTGCTATCCGAATCCAGCAACCACGCAACAGCACCACATCTAGCATTGGATTGGTGAAGAAGAGACCCCTGGCAAGGGACCCGGGATGGGCCTGGCGAGGTGCGGTGAGGGGGTGGGCGGAGGACGAGTCCTGCTGTGGCAGGGGCCGGCAGCCTTAACAGGTACCAGCTCCGCTGCTGCCCGTGTCCGCCACGGCGCTTTTTTTTGGGGGGGGGGGAGGGTGAATGCGGGGTCGGGGCTGTGTGTGTGCATGTGTGCTCTGTCTCCCCAATTAGTGCTTTGCGCGGCCCGCCTAGCTCTTGACCAGAAGAGGCTCGCTCTCGACCCGCAGACCAAAAAAGTGTGTGTGCATGTTCCTCCTCTCGTCTCCGTCGGCCTCCCTCGTCCCCTTCCCCGCGGCTGCCCCGCCGCCGGTCGCTCTGTGCGGCTCCCCCGGGGTGAGCCCGGCACGCCCCCGCTGCCGCTGTGAGCCTGGCCCGCCCGCGCGGCCACTTCCGCTTTGGCCTGTTGGCCTGACTCCGGCGCGCTGCTGCGCGCGTGGCCGCGACGCCAAACAAGTTTGTGTGTGTGCATGTGAGTGAGTGTGTTTCCGTTTTTGATCCGGTGGTTATTCCTCACTGCCGCGTCCGAGGAGCATAATGGTGAGTACGTATGTGTGTGTGCGTGTGTGTGTGTGTGTGTGTGTGTGTGTGTGTGTGCGTGTGTGTGTGCGTGTGCGCGTGCGTGCGTGCGTGCGTGCGTGCGTGCGTGTGTGTGTGTGTGTGTGTGTGTGTGTGCGTATGCGTGTGTGCGTGTGTGCGTGTGTGTGTGTGTGTGTGTGTGTGTTTGTGTCTGTGTGTTTGTGCCGCGGACCGCGCCTATCGCTTAGGGAGTTTGGCCCCAGCGTCGGGACGCCGGACGCGTCGGGACGCCCCAGCTGCTGCGTCACAAGAATAATGCCAGCGCGCGGA